ATGATACTATCTTAGGTCTTTTCCCTGAGGTGATTTAGCATATCTCCTACCTAGTAGATAAGAACCCATCTCTCAACATTCTAGAGCTGAGTGGGAGGAAGGAGCTGGAGAATTCCCAGTTCAGTATGCAGCCTTCACTTTAAGCCAACTTCAGGCCAAACCTTAGCTCTACCCTCTGTAACTGTTTCCCAGGCCAGAGCCTTCTGGTACAGCTGTTCCTGAGACCTTCCTCCTTTCTCTCAGTCTGCTGATTGCATCTGAAGGGAGCAGGAACTGGAGACTCGAAACAGTCCCTCTGTTTGCAGTTTATTCCTATCAATCCCTACTCCCTGCTTCCTCCCCACCACTTAGCTTTGCCTTCCAAGGGGTCTCCAGCTTTCCAAGATCTGTAAAGGGAAACAACTTGCTTCTCACCAGCATTTCCTTTTCATACACTGAGTTATAGGCTTCCACCTCCAGTCTGCTAAGCCATTTATCCTTTCAGCATCCACTTTCCATCTTCATGGATTGTGATTTGGGCTGATAATAGGTCATTTAGCAGTATCAAAGATGGGCTTTTTTTTATTTCATGGTTTCTTTGTTTTGAGTGTGATTTCTCAGAGAAGAGAGTCAGGGAGATCTTTACACTGCCATCTCAGATAAGGTTCATGGCTTCCTTGGTTTGTTTTTTGTTTTTTGTTTTTGGCATCTGGCCAGTATGGGGATCCGAACCCTTGACCTTGGTGTTATCAGCACTGTGGTTTAACCAAGTGAGGGTTTTCTTGTTTTGAGTGTGATTTCTTAGAGGCAGAGATTTTTACTCTGCCATCTCAGAATCTGTGTTCTTAACGCTATTTATTTGCCTCCCATTGAAAAATGCATTTAACTACTGAAGCTCTTTGTTTTTCTGAAAATTTGGTTGAATTTTCTTTTATTTTTTTCTTTGCCTTGTCATTCTAGTCAGAGCTCAGCTGCATGGAAGGCAGCTGCACATGTTCATTCCCAACCAGTGAACTGGAGAAGGTGCTTCCCCAGACCATCTTGTATAAATACTATGAGCGAAAAGCCGAAGAAGAAGTTGCTGCAGCCTACGCTGATGAGCTTGTCAGGTGAGTTCTCAGAGTCAGATGGTCTTTTCTCAAATCATTCCCCATTGTGAAAACTGTCTGTTTTCATCAGATGACAAAAATTCTGTAACAAAGCTATATCTTCCAGTTTTCTGGCACTTATCGCTGAGAAATAAAATAATTAATTTTATTAATGGAAAAATCTGCAGCTCATTTTTTTTTTTTNCATCTTGTATAAATACTATGAGCGAAAAGCCGAAGAAGAAGTTGCTGCAGCCTACGCTGATGAGCTTGTCAGGTGAGTTCTCAGAGTCAGATGGTCTTTTCTCAAATCATTCCCCATTGTGAAAACTGTCTGTTTTCATCAGATGACAAAAATTCTGTAACAAAGCTATATCTTCCAGTTTTCTGGCACTTATCGCTGAGAAATAAAATAATTAATTTTATTAATGGAAAAATCTGCAGCTCATTTTTTTTTTTTTTAAGATGACCAGTAGGGGGATCTTAACCCTTGACTTGGTGTTGTCAGCACCACGCTGTCCCAAGTTAGCCAATCGGCCATCCCTATATGGGATCCGAACCCGTGGCCTTGGTGTTATCAGCACCACACTTTCCCAAGTGAGCCACGGGCCGGCCCAAGCAGCTCAAATTTTTATCTGCATTTTTTGGCACCTCCGAATCTTCTGGCCCTGGGTTGGAAGAAAGTGACATGTGCAAAGAGTTCTCATTAAGGTTGGGATATGTGTTGATTGAGTGTTTACACTAAGTCAGGACCTAGAATGGTACCTGTGTTTCCTGGTTAGAGTCAGCACAAGAAAGAGGCTCAATCCATGTTTTAAAGAAAACTAAGGAGTAAAAAAGCAATATGGCTGTCCAGCTAAAAATTCCATCTTAGTGTGAACAGTCACATGGAACCAAATCAGACTCTAATATTCCAAGTAATATTACTTCTGCTGTTTTGACTCCAGGTGCCCCTCCTGTAGCTTTCCTGCTCTGCTGGACAGTGATGTGAAGAGGTTCAGTTGTCCTAATCCTCGCTGCCGAAAGGTAGGGAAGCATATTTTTTCTAGATGTATATCTAAATTACGATATTTTGGGCTATGCTAATGGTATAAATATCTGATCTTTATCTGCGTGCTGACACATGAGGATCTCACACTTTCCTTTTCATGAAAACAGATGAAGATTGGTACTTTGTGAATGGTGGTTGACATGGTTACAGAGATGGGGGCCACTTGTGGAATTGTAGTTATGAACCTCTGTATCCCTGATTTATGTTATCTTCTTGCAAGGAAGGATACTATTATATAAAATATGAAGGGTTTTGTTTTTCTTCCACTTTGTCACCATTTTTTTTGCTTGCTCTTTCTCCCACCCTGTGGTCAAATACTGTCTCCCTCCCCCCCCACCCCCCATGTTTGCATGTGCACTCACATACTTCCTATCATTTTTAAAGTCCAAGCAACACTTCTTTAATTAAAGAACTGGGCATTATGGTGGCATCACTATCATGTCTGGTGAGTTATTCACTTGACTGTGCCTTGTAAGAACTGACTATATTGGGTGAGACCAGAGCTAGTCAGTCACTTCACTGCTGCAAATCTTTTTTCTGTCTAACTTTTTTCATTCTTTGTGACCTAAGAATGTCTTAAAGTTTGTCAATTATTTATAAGCCACTTAGAGATTTTAGTGAATATTGGCCTTCCCCCTAGACAAATATGTTTTAAGCCATTTTTCTAAAACTGCATGATCAGAGTTGAACACTGCAGTTGTATTTCTGTCTCAGGGAGAATGAAGAAATTAAGGTAAAGGTGGGAGAAAGAAGAAGACACTAATGGGCTAAAACTTTACTCCTTTTGTTTTCAACATTAATATTTCTTTGTGAAATGTAGGTGTATTCTTACAACTGATGTGGCCATTTAATAATTTGTCCCCACCCTAGGTGTTGCTATAACAATTGTCTCAACAGTCTCTGGCATCTTGGAACTAAAAAAAGCAGACTAACCAACTTTCTTTTGTGTGTTTCCAGTGTGTCACGCACTGGAATGCTTGGGAAAGTGATGCCTGACCTAAGATACAGAGAGCAAGGAGGAAGTAGCCAAGGGAAGTACAGGGTGGGAAGTACAGTGAAGGTGGAAGAATGTTTTAGGCCCGAGGAGTAGCAGCAGCCTGGGCACTGACTAGTATCAGGAGTGTGGATAAGGCTTATGAGCTGGGTGGGGGCAGGCCCTTTAGCACCATTCTGAAGTCAGGGGAGAGGTAAAATATCAGGAAGATCTGTTTTGCTGTTGAGTAGTCCAGGTGAGAAATGTACATCACTGCCGTCTCCTCTGGGGTCTTCATGAATTGCTAAGAAGGATCTGGGAACTACATTTCCTGGCATGTTTCCAAGTAGAGTCTGCCAATGAAGGTGCTCATATATGGTTTGGAAGGCCAGAGAGAAGGGGAGGCCATTATTCTCCAAAGACATTTAGAAGCAACCTGAGGGAACACCAGAGCCTGAAACAGTGTCCAGTGAGTATCTTGAGAACATCAACTTGGGATGTTAGTGGGAGCTCCTCAGAGGTTCTTAAGATCCCAGGCAAGAACACCCAAATATTCTACTTTCTGTTTGTGGGAGGAATATACCTGCCCTGTTAAACTTGGAGGTGGCTATGTAGCTTCTTTCAACCAGTGAAATGTGTAAGTGAGTAGGTCACTTGCATAAAAAGCCATAGAAGCCTATGGTTCAAGATGATGTCAGCCTGATGGCCAAATAGGAAGCTCCAGACCCTCCTTTCCCTACAGAGACACCTGTTCAACAGCAATACATGGACTATTCCTCTTTGCGAGATATCCAGAAACTAGTTAAGAGGCTCCCACACCCTATGCAAGCACAAAACCAGTTGCATCAAAGCTGATAGATGAATTTGTGGTACTCATTCTCCAGAGCCCCTCCCCCCAGCACAGAAGAGTATGATTGGGAGGAAACTCCCAACTCTTGGTTTCTCCCTGGGGAGGAAAAGAGAAGACTGGAACATATATCTAACATTCACACTTTTCAAGGGGCTACCCAAGGGATTAGTTTTTGTCTTGCCTGACAAGAAAGGGTACCAGGTTGGAGGCCACTGAGAACAAATGCAGTAGTGGAACTAGCATGCACTCTCTCACCATTGCCCTTCCCTGGCTCAGCGCAAAACAAGTGAGAGAAAATTCCCAACTCCTTGTTTCTCCCTGGGGAGGGAAAGAGTTGGAGCATGAGTCCAGCATTCTAGCCTTTCAGGAGCCTGCCCAAGAGTCCAGTTTCTGTCTCACCTGAGTCAGAGCACTGATGGGACTTGGTATAGTGTAGATGCTGTGTGCCACCAAGAACAAAAGAAAGCTGGGTGGCTTGTACTGCTCCAGAGGATCCACAGTACGGTAGACAGGTACTCCAGGTGTACCTTGGAGTCTTCACCCACAGGTAGAGGGGAAAGGGATGGGAGGAGTGGAGCATTTGTTCAGCATTCAGGCTTCTCAAGGGGTTGCTCAAGGGTCTGGGTTTCTGTCTCACCCAACTCAGAGTGCTAACAGGACTCGACATACTCTAGATGCCTGGCAAAAAAGAGCTAGCTGAGACCAAAAAGAGCTAGCTGACTTTTAGCAGCTCCAGAGAGCCTGCAGGACCTGACAGACACTATAAGAAGAGGTTATGATCTCCTAAAAAAAAAAAAAAAAACTTGCAAACTTCTCTAATTGGAAATTCACATGCACAAATCAGAAAAGATGCATTCTCAAAAAAGGTTTGAGAGGCCCTCAGAATATCTCAGGCTTATTGGTGAAGGTCTTTCCTTGCATGAAGCAATCTGTAAAGGCTGGGAGAGATGGTCGTCTTTTCAGATCTGCAGATCCCAACGCAAAGTACGAAAGCACAAAAAGAAATAGGGTAACATGGCCTAACCAAAGGAACAAAATAAATATCCAGAAACTGACCCTAAAGAAATGGAGGTGTGTGGATTACCTGAGGAAAAAAATTCAGAATAACCACTATAAATAATGTTCTACAAGCTCAGGAAAATGATGCGTGAACAAAATGAGAACATCAGTAAAGACACAGAAAATATTAAAAGGAACCAAATTTTAGGCCTGAAGAGTACAGTAACTGAATTGAAAAACTCACTAGAAGGATTCAACAACAGACTTGGTCAAGGAGAAGAAGAAATCAGTAAACTTGAAGACAGGTCATTTGAAATTATCCAGTTGGAGGAGCAAAAAGAAGAAGAGTGAAGAAAGCATATGAAACATGTGGGACATCATTGAGCAGACCAATACACATATTACGGGAGTGTCAGAAAAGAAGAGAGAAAAAAAGAGAATGAAAGCTTATTTGAAAATAATGGCCTTAAACTTCCCAAATCTGGGGAAAGGAAGTGGACATTCAAATTCAAGAAGCCCAACAGACCCCCATCTAGGATGAACCCAAACAGGGCCACACTAAGACACATGATCAAATTACTGAAAGTCAGAGATAGAATTTTGAAAACAGGAAGAAAAAAATGACTTATCACATACAAGAGATCTCCCATAAGATTATCAGCAACTTTCTTGGCAGAAACCTTACAGACCAGAAGGGAGCAGGATGGGTTATTTGAAGTGTTGAAAGAAAAAAAAACTGCCAACCAAGAATACTATATTTGGTAAAACTTTTTTTCAAAAGTGAAGGAGGTTGTCTGCAACTTTTCAGGTAATAAAAAAAAAAAAAAAATTAGGTGAGGGAGAAATTAATACATTCCCAGATAAACAAAAGCTGATAAAGCTTATCATCAATAGACCTACTGTGAAGGTTAATTCTAGGTGTTAACTTGGTTAGGTGAAGGAATGCTGAGAAACCTGGGAAAGCTATCTTTGTAGGTGTGTCCATGAGGCTGTTTCCAGCAGAGATTTGTATGACAGTCTGAGTGGACTGGGTGGGAAAGACCCACCCTCAATGTGGGTGAGAACCATCCAATCTGCTGGGGTTCTGAAGAGAACCAAGACAGAGAAAAGAGGTGAAGCTCTCTCTTGATCTGCTGGAGCTGGGATACACTCTTCTCTCCTGTCTATGGACATCACAGCTTGAGACTCTTCAGCTTTTTGTTTCCAGGACTTATACCAAGGACACCATTAGCTTCCCTGGTTTTGAGGCCTTTGGACTTGAACTGAGCCATGCTACCGGCATCCAGTTTATAGACAGCCTATTGTGGGACTTTTCTTCATAGTCACATGAGCTAATTCCCCTAATAAATCCTTCTCATATAATTATAACATAACGTATTGTTTCTGTCTCTCTGGAGAACCCTGACTAATACACCTGCCTTATAAGAAATGCTAAAGAGAGTTCTTCACATTGAAACAGAAAGATGCTAGATAGTTACATGAAAGCATATGAAATTGTACAGCTCATTGATAAGTAAATATATAGACATGTACAGAATTCTATAATACTGTAATGTCATGTGTAAATCACTTTTAACTCTGGTATAGGGTTCAAAAGACAAAAACATTAAAAAATAACTATATAAAAATATATTAATGGATACACAATATAAAAAGATGTAATTTGTGACATCAATAACACAAAGTTTGGGGAGGAGATATAAAAAAGAAGAGTGCTTGCAATTATAAGTTATCAGCTTAAAATAAATTATTATAGGGCCGGCCCGGTGGTGCACTCGGTAGAGTGTGGCACTTGGGAGCGCAGCGGCGCTCCCGCTGAAGGTTCGGATCCCATGTAGAGACCAGTCCGCTCACTGGTTGAGCGCGGTGCGGGTGCAACACCGAGGGTTGCAATCCCATTGCCAGTCACAGTATGGGCGCGACACTGAGGGTTGCGATCCCATTACCGGTCACGAAAAAAGACAAAAAAAGGAAAAATAAATAAATAAAAAATAAATTATTATACATACAGAATGTTTTTTGTAAGCCCCACAGTAACCACAAAGAAAACACCTATAGAAAATACACAAAATACAATGAGAAAGGAATTTAAAAGCATGTCACTACAAAAAAAAAGTCAACAAAACATAAAACAGCAAGAGAGGAAAAGGGGG